CAATTAATAAAAGGGTTTTTTGTCAGGACCAGGAGTTTGCTTCAGGCTCTTGGGAAGCCTCGGTCAGAACAGTCCTCATTTTACCGACCCATTTTACAGAGGGGTAAAATGGGTAAAGCACTGTGAATATAAGTCTAAGTTCTATTGCTATTATGTATGTTTCCCCGGATCTTATTTTCTTTTGGGCCTCAAAATAAGCACTAGGGCTTATTTTCAGAGGAATGAGACCACTCTCTGAAAATAAGTTTTTCCATGTACGGGAGACCCACTTCTTCTGCTTGTTTGTGGTGGGGCAGGAGGCTGCGCAGTGCCGCCACCATGAGATGGAGATGGGGAAGCTGCCCCATGCAACCTTCACCAGCCTACCTCAAGGCCCCCACAGATGGGTCATCTGCGCCCCGACACCTGCCTCACCTCATGGCCATGGCACCAGCACACCACTCATCCTCCTGCTCCGTTGTGGCTACGAGCAAACAGAAGTGGTCTAGTGCCTACATGAGTTCCTGCTGCACATGGCCACGAGGCAGTGTTGGGGCATGGATGGCATGGCTGCTGGTGCAGGGGGTGGGGGGCAGCTCCATCCGCCTGCATTGCCTTGGCACCATGAGCAACCATACGGAATGGGCTGGCAGCCAGCAGCGCAGTTTCTTAAGCAGAACTTATTTTGGGGGGGTAGGGCAGTGGCGAAATGCAAATTTTTTTACGGCCGGTTCTGTGGGTGTGGCTTGGTGGGCGTGGCAGGGGAAGGTTACTGCAAAATCCCCATTTCCTCCCGATCAGCTGGGACTCGGGAGGCAGAGAAGAGATGGGGCGGGGCCAGCCACAGGTGGTATTTGCTGGTTCTCCAAACGACTCAAAATTTCTGCTACCGGTTCTCCAGAACCGGTCAGAACCTGCTGAATTTCACCCCTGGGGGTAGGGGTTATAGTAGGTGCAAGTGTTTAAAAACATGCTAAGGGCTTATTTTCGGGATAAGTCTTATTTACAGAGAAGCAGGTTATATACAGTATATATACCATAATCAAGACACAGCCTCTTTCTCATCCTTCCTCTCTGCCCTCAGCTGAGGAGATTCCTCTTTATCCTAGTGATCCTTTCCTTCCATTCACCCCAGATCCGGCTAGAGATTCCACCGCGGTGAGCATCCTTGACGGATGGAGTTTGAGGCATTGCTCCTCTATAGCGGGAACGTATTTTAGGCTGCAATAAATCAATGGTACGGATTAACGCGGATTCGCTATGGCTCCCCACATGTGACATTTTCCAGTTCGACATAGAGGCGCTATGAATTAAACCTCGGTCTTTCTATATGTTAAGCAGTGATTGGCCACCCAAATCCTGACACCAGATGTAGCTCCAAGCAGCTTTCCCTTGAAGCCGTCCGAAGCTGGGTGTGAGTCGAAAGATGCCTGTGTGTTTTAAGAGTTGCAAATTTCCAACAGATGCTTGACTTGAGTTA